CAGGTCTAAGGACTCACTAGTAAGCCTACCTTGCCAATGTTACCCCAAGCTGCAAGTTGAAAGAGAAGTCACTTCTAACCCTTCTGATACCAAATGCATGGGTGGTTTTGGTTTTCACACCAAGCAATTCTCCAATTCTTTGTGGACACTCACCAGGTGTTCTACAATTTAACTCAGTTTTCACACTAACCACTCAGAGGTAGTGTAGACTTCACAGCTTAAATGCTCAGCCCCACAAGACTGCCTTCTACTTCAGACACCAATTACAAGTAGTAGGTCCCCAGGTTACCCACAGCTCCAGTCCAACTTGGCTGCAAGTTGGAGCCTCTCACGCCCTCCTCCTCAATTGGAATCATTTGCTATAATGGTTCACATAAACTAGAAGGACACTTTGCTTGCTATTACTGGTTTGTGATAAAGTATATAAGTGAACAGCCAGTGAAGAGGTACACAACGTGAGGTCCAGAAGAGTTCCAATCATAGAACCTTGTGTCTCAATGGAGTTGGAATGCACCACCCTCCTGGTACACGGATGCAGTCTCCAACCCAGAAACCCCCCAATCTTCATTGTTTAGGGGTTTTATAAAGGTTCCATTATGTGGATGTGATTCATTAAATCACTGGCTATTGGCAATCAGTTCAATCTCCAGCCTCTTCTCCTCCCTGGAGGGAAGGGATACTGAAAGTTCCAATCTTCTAATCATGTCTTGGTCTTTTTAGTGACCATCCTCCATCGTCAAGTTATCTAGAGACTCTCAGTCTCCAGTCTTCTTTTTAGCATAAACTCAGGTGTGTTTGAACAGACTTTATTGTGAATAACAAAACATGTTCCCCTCACGCCACCTTATTTGCTTAATCTAAGATTGGCATATTCTAGTAAGTAGAGTTTTTATATACAAATGTCTTGGCTGATTTCATGAAGGCCACATCCCATTAGATTTTACTTTTCATTCTCTATAAAGCTTCTTCTCTTCCCTCTTAATGCATACATCTTCCAAAATTCCCACTGAGCCATCTTTCCATTTGCCATTACATTGCAGTTTAATATTTTTTATTTATTTTAATGTTTGTCTTTTCTTTCTAGACTATAAGCCATTAGGGTGAATGTAGATATCTTTCCTAGATCCAAGTTTTCAGCTTATTTAGAAAATTGTGAATACTGCACCTTCCGAAGGTTTGTGAAATAGAAGATCAATATCCAGTGCTAACTATCCCCACAATTAGCATCAAATTGCTAGCCTTCAGACACAGTGCCTTAATTTCTGCACTGCTCTCCTTGAGTTGTCTTATCTAGTATGTTTCTCCAGCCTATTCCCTTGGTCCAGAGCATGAGCTTCAATTTTTGTCCTGTCTCCCTCTCCAAGAACTCTCAGCACCCTTAACACACCATGGCTGAGTTATAATGAGTACCCTTGAGAAGAGACTGATTCTGGAGGCACATTCAGCAGTTATACTCCTTTGTTAAACATTTGATGTGCACATACTCTTTTCAATCAACAAGCAGATGAGTCTTTAACTCGATTTAAAAAAATCATAAAGTTACTGTATTTTCTCTCTCCTTCCCCCAAAGAGTTTATTATGCATATTTCCACTACTATGATCTATACTCATCAATCAGATTGTTAGATCTGAGAACTTAGGAGAGTATTTCTGTTTATTTTGACATGTATAAATTCTGTTGAATCTGACCTGAAGAATTTCTCAAATATATTCTATTTTATTTAACTAATCATCTGCTTCTCAAAATATTATTTCTTGCAATTATGCCATTGGTCAGAGAGAGGGCTATCTGGAATAGTTACTGGAATAAAACTAGAATCAGTTTTTTTTCTCTCTAAGTAATGTCGTTTTTGCATAGCCTAGTAGCCCACGGGTAAAACAGACGAGACTTAAGGTCACCACTGGCCAGGCCTCCCAGGGGTGCCTACAGGCTTCCAGTGAAATAGACTCTACCTTGAACAGCCAGGGGAAGCATTGATGGGTCTCAGCAAGTACAAAGGTGTCAGGACAAGCCTCTCTGAGACAGCTAGACTTGGTACCAAACCACAGTGAAGGTAGCCAGGTATTCAGAAACTGGACTGACCAGGCACAAAGAAAAAAACAAAAGCACAGAGAAAAAAACAAATGACTTTTCCAAATAAGCAGCCAAAAGTCAATCCCTTTATTTTATTTCAAGTATAGCATTGTCTAAACTCAAAGTGTTCTGCTAAATTGTGTCAACTAGCTTTCTAAGACCTGCAGGCTTTAATTACCTTAAGGAGAAAGTCTGGTGTCCAAAGAAAGTCTCATGACAAACTGGGTTTTGCTTTTGGGTGGAAGAAGGTCCAGGAATGAGGCTGTCTTGGGGATCCCCTGCGAAATCAAATATCTCTTCATTCTTCATGATGATGAGACTGGTGATCCACATAATTAATATAAGCTCACACAGAAGTAAACATAAAATCATTAAACAGGAAGTCTTTAACCAGGCAGCAGGCAGTGGGGAGGTTGGGGGGGGGGAAATTATGTCTTAGAAACAGAGGCAAGTAGCACATGGTATTTTTAAATGAACCTTTGTTCCTGGTCTAAAATCAAATAGATTTTAAAATTTTCTCTGCACAGCAGCCTGAACAAGGTGGTTTGGAGCAAGTGTTATGTCCAGAATATTTAAGCTCTGGCAGTTACAGCATAGTATATGTGATAACTATATTGCATATATGAAGTAGCAAATTCAAAAAGAACTGGTAAGAAAAATAGTTGTTCAATAATTTGTACTCCTTAAAGACTAAATTTGGAGGAACAGCAGATAGCTTGAGAGCCCACTATGTTTGGCCTTAAAACAGTAGCTCTGTTGTGGTGCACAGAGGGAGTGAGAGTGGGATCTTTATTTATCAGTTGAATAGGGACCAGGCACTATGTGAACTGCTGAGAATATGTCATCTCATTTAACAGTAAATACATCTTATTTGAACTCTCTGATATCATGCATTTTTTTTCTTGCAAAACACACAGGGTAAACATATGGGCCCTATTCAGCAAGTGAATTTCAAGATATGCACATCCCATTTACAACAGATAAATGGCACAAAGAGAGGAATAAACACACTCACTGCAGAATCTCTTAATTAAAGCCTCCTTGTATGGAGATTTTAAAATGAGGCTTGCTTGCTTTTTTAATGTTTCAACTAGGGAATTAAGCTAAAAGGAAAAATATAAATCTGCCCTGCAGTTTTCTGCATCAGGAAAATAAGTTGTGACAGGATGTCACTTTTGACCCTTTCTCAAATGATCAGAGTTATAGGTGAATGTTACCAAGGACCACAATTTGGGTTTCATTAGCAGTAAGTCTAGAATGTCTAAGTTCAGGACCTCCCTATAGAGTTTGACTGTGGGCAGTGGGTGAACACCTAGGGACTACCATCACCAGCATAACAGCCAGCTCAGAAGTCTCTTCCTGTCCCAGAAAGGAAGAATCATACCTTTGACAGAGGCTTGAAGGCAGGATGACTAATACTGTATTTATAGGATCCCCAAAAGAAACACCCCAAACCCTTTGGCTGTTGTCTGTTCATTGTTTGCTGAAATGCCTATTGCATCACAGTTTTTTTTAAGTCAAGCAAGACCCAGCATGTGGAGAGGAGGCAGCTGGTAATTTTGCTACTGTTATAAAACACAGCCTTTGATGGAAGCATCGAATGATATCCCCACATGTACAGGTAAGGAAACAAGAATTAGAGGAGGTTGACTTTCTTCCTTGTCTATTACCACATTGGGTAAGTAGCAGAATCAGTTGAACTCAGGCAGTTTATTGTCAGGTATATGTTCTCTGCTCTTCCCTACCTTGTCATGAGGGTAGTATCAGTCATACAATGTAAGCTGCCCTCCACCAGGAATACAGAAACATACCACAGCCAATGGGAAACCAGAAGGATAAAGAAAAAAGACTAGCAATTCCCAGCTAACATTGTAAACATGGTAACAGTGTAAACACTGCATCTGGAGAACTTGTACTTTATTTTTTTCCTGAAATTTCAATCCTTTCCAGTGAATGTGAATTTTTTAAATTAAATATTAGTAAGGATGTATCCTGGAGCCAGTTGAACCAAATTGATGTTTATCTTCAAGATTCTAATGCACCTGCTGCAAATACTGGTGATGAACCCTTAAGTGGGGCCTGAATAGAGCCTGAACCCCTTGTATTTAATGCTGATGGGAGGCCTGATCTCTCTTACTCTGCTTTCTTCAAGTAACACTGATAAAGAAAACAGACTAAGAGGAAATCCTACCAACATAACTCCAATATTTTGATTTTTGCTTTCATGAAGACTTTCAACTCAGGATGTTAGATCTATTTTCCACAGACAAGTGCTTGTGTTTTCACATTCTCATTATATGGGAAAAGTGAAAAAAGGAACAAAAAATTACCACAATAAAATAAAAAAAGCAAAGTGTAAATTTTGAAAACTCAACGGAATATTTCTAGATGGCTTGCATTTTGAAAGCTCATTTTTTATTTTTTTAAGTTATAAAAATATTTTATTTAAATGGCACAGAAAAAAATATATATACTTAAAATGATTAAAACTTCACATTAGGAAATTCTAAGAACTCAATAATTTACACAATGATAAAATCTAAAGTGATGAAAAAACATAAAATGCTTTCATTTGGTCCTGTCACCTAACAAAACTATCATAAACACGAGATTATAGCAATTACTGAAGCTGGTTAAAGGCACATGACCACATAATTCCTTTATACACATTCAGCCATTTTAAACATCCTTGTCTAAATCCCTCAAATGAAAGAGTGAAAAATGAGAACACATGGACACAGAAAGGGGAGTACTAAACACTGGGGTCTATTGGGGGGAAAAGGGGAGGGCCAGTGGGAGGGGGAGGTGGGGAGGGATAGCCTGGGGAGAAAAGCCAAATGTGGGTGAAGGGGAGAAGAAAAGAAAGCACACTGCCATGTGTGTACCTACGCAACTGTCTTGCATGCTCTGCTCATGTACCCCAAAACCTATGATCCAATAAAAAATTAAAAAAAAAAAAATATTAACAGTGCATTATGCACCTATAATGAAACCACTTTCTCCAAAGAATCAACCAGATTAACATTGCAAAATAGTATTTCTGTATCACTGACTTCTAAAATGTTTAATAATTTAAGAATATGCAAATGAAATATAATTTATTCTGGTTTCAATAACAGTTATACAAAGTCACAATTTTTCCCAGGAAACCACTTCATAGTTGCAAAAACACAGTGTAGCTTTTTTGTTAGGGTCTGCCATGCTTTCAGCTAGCTGGATGTTTAACCATTCACTTCAAATTTACATGTACAGTCAGGCACAGTGGCATGGGCCTGTAGTCCCAACTACTTCGAAGGTTGAGGCAGGAGGATCACTTGATTCTAGGAGTTCAAGGCCAGTCTGGGCAACATAGAAAACACTGTCTCTTCAGAAATCATCCAAAAAGTGAGATAAACATTACAACCCCCATAAACTGGGTAAACGACAACAATGTAGTGAAAAATGACCACACATGCCATAAAAAAATGTTGAGGCAAATTCCTGCTGCAATAAAGGCAGCAGTGGTAATGGGAATCAGGGCTGGATGCTTGACATCATATTCTCCAATTCCATGATACCACTCAAGGTATACTATGCAGTAAAACACAATTGATAAACTAACAAACAACAAGGCACTGCCACAGAGAAACCAGCTGCTAGTGTGAAAGCTTTCTTTAAAAGTTTTAAAGAAGTCAGCATAATAGGTCACAACAATGGATGCCAAAATCCAGAATCCAGAATGGATATTAAGTCTTGGAAGAGGTTTCTCTTTTTCTCAACAGCTGTAGAGGTTTCCTCATGGTCCAGCTGGGCCTCGGCGTCCGGCAGGAACAGGAATCGTCACCGGAGCTGCTGACAGGCCCATGAAGGGTCCATATTGGTACCACCTGAAATCAAAAGCTCATTATTTAAGCTCCAAAATTAAGTAAATTTTTTGTAGACTAAATATAATTTTATAACCATAAAAACAGTTTTAGGACTGTTTCAAAGGCTTGACAAGTTTGACCAAACTTCTTAAAACCATTCTGTCACACAAAGGGCAGTGCAAAAGAATAGAGGAACAAAGTGTGCATCAATGTTTCATTAATTAAGTGCAATTGGCAAAACCTTTAATCCACCTCACAATGCTAGGCACACCCTCCAAACACAGATGATAAATAGGAAAAACATGGTGAGGCTTTGGTCATGCAACACATCTGTTCACTTAGTTGGGTCATGTTTTAGATTTGGGCATAACAAGATTTGATTGTCTTTATGCACAGTGACAACAATGAAATGAATATTGTTTGAACTCTGAATTGTATAAATACATAGACATGTTGATTTGAGAAGAGAAAACAAAGAATGTGAAAATTGGCAAAATACCCATTTCAGGAATTACAGATACTCTTATTTAAACAAAAAAAGAGAAAGAAAGAAAGAAAGACTAGCACGCAAATGGCAGACCACCCACGAAGTGCAACTAAAATCTGAACAACATGAACAAAATAAAATGTTCTCCAGCCAGTACAATTCCTAAAAGTATTAACTTTAAAAAGCTCTTCATTTAATCCAATGACTTTAAAATATTTCATTGAAATACAGACTCCTTTTGTGTAATCAGTGGAAGTCCTCTCACATATATGAAATGAATTGAGATTAATAGAAAAGGCCAATAATAATGATAGTTGCTAGTATTTGTGGGGCACATTCTATGGGTGAAACAGAAATATTATACATGTTATCTTATGCAATCCTATCATCAAACCTATAAAATATATATTAAATGAAACATTTAATATATATTTATATATTATTATATAAATAATATATATTATTTATATATTATTATATAAATAATATATATTATTTATATATATTATTGATAAATGTATTTATCAAATAAAGGCTAAGACACTAAATACATGCATAAAGTTACAGAGCAAGATTCAAACTCAGGCCCATCCTAGTCTAAGACATGTGGCCTTTCACTACAATATGCGGACATTTAATAACTCTTTTTTCCAACAGTAGATATAATTAGATTGCAGTGAATAAAATTTATTACTAATAACAAAAGAGAAACACATAACCTCAAAATAAAGACTCAATTTCTAGAAGAAAAAATTTGATGACAAAATCTTCCCAGGAAACAAATAAGCAACTAAACTGGGCAAATGTGCACTCAATTTGAAAGAAACACAAAAAGGAAAATATCCAATAATAATTCAAAATAAATCTGTCTTAAGCAATGAAGAAGTCATGAATAGAGTAATCTGAGTGTTTTCTCTCTGTAGAAGTAAAATGTCTACATGGCACCAAGAAGAGCCTAATTAAATATGGGGAATGTTCTTTGTCCCATTTTTCTCTGATGATCATGGTTAGCAATAATTATTCTTTTATGCTTTGCTTTTCTACTTCACTTAATACTGAATAACTTGTAGGCTACTTTGCTTTGTGTTGTTAATTTCCTTTTAGATGTTTAGGTATCTATGATGAGATTTAAGTTCCTCAAAGAAGGCAAGAATATGTTGCACTTTTTTGTATGTCCATATGCCCTGCACATAATGCGCTCAACCAATTGTTGGTTTAATTCAGGCTGAGACTTCGGCCACTAAGATTACCTAGACATGAAATTTGACTAAATGGTAGCATAACAGCTATAGTTACCTTGGCAACCTTTGACAGTTTTTGCAATGCAATCTGTATTTTTAATGAAAAGCATCCAATTCTTTGCAACAGACATCATCCTTTTGCCCTTTAGTAGGCTGACCACTGTATTTGCAAGCAACTGGTGCAGGGGGAAGCTTGTGATATATTTGAGGTATGTTTCTCAAAAGTTCTATTTCACTTTAATTTCTGCCATGTAAGAATTCATCAAGGAACCTCTAAGCAGAACAACAGATGACATGATCTACTGCAAAATAGAAAAGACCATGACTAGAAAGATGGGAATGGAGTAGAGCTTGAAAAACAATACCATAAAGAGTAAATCGAATACACTAGAAAAAAGTACATTGAGGAAGGATAAGGCAGAGTGGACCAAGCCTTTAAGATGTGTAAGTGCAAGTTAAGATTTAAGATGTTCTATAAATGTTTATTGAGTGACTGAAGGAATGAACGCATAATATTAGAGTTCCTGTACTTCACTGCATTTGAGAGTAGATGCATAATGACAGGATAGTAAAAGGAGATTGAAGGTCAGAGTTAAGAGGCCCTTAAGGGATACATTTAAGCTGAAACAACCAAGAGTTCTTTGGGAGTGGTGCAGAAAAACTGAACATTGTGTTGTATTTCTTTTGAAAATTCCCAAGAATTTTTCACCAATGCTGGCAACCATGCAATGCATTAAAGAGTGATAGCCACATTGTGCCTCTTGGAATCATCCAGTTGGCTGGATTAAAACGGGGTGTACCACTTAGCAAACTCTTTCACCAGCTGTCTCTATGTGTGAATTTTGAAGCTGCCAAACCAGACATGAATGGTGTGTTGGCCTCTACAGTCGCACAAGAGCAGTAAGCCACTGTTGCAGATGTGCTATGTTCATACAATATTCACGATGGCTAGAGGACAGCTAACTTACTCAGAGGACGCTGGGTACACCAGCTGCTGGTGACAGCAATAGAGTCAGATAGGTTCTGCCCTGCAGTTTTTAAATGCTGCCTGCTTTAAAAAGCAGAGCCTCCAAATAATGCAGGAGCTAAGTTTGCAAAGAAAATGCACTTGCAATATGCAAACCAGAGCAGCTGGGTATCCAACTGTGTAAAGAAACACAAAGGGCACTTCTTTTCCCTCAAACTGATATTACTCACCCAGGTTTTATAGAGTCAAAAGCATATGCTTAAGTATAATTACTCAACAATTCAGACCAATTTCCACATCACAGCCACATAAATAGGATATTTCATTCCACCTAGGTGGTGACAATGTGACTCTTTTGCCTGGGTATTTCTGATGAGTCTTATAAACCAGTGGCTCAAGAGGTAACATTATAAAATTAATTTGAAAAACAAGATATTTAATACATACACAATATATGTAACTCTCTGTATAAGTAAACAAAACAAATCACCATCTACATTAAGAAAGAACATCACCAGTACAACTCAAATCTCTCCTCTATGGCTTTAGGCTGGTAACCCCCAGGACCAGCTGCATAATTTGAGGGGCCCAGTGTAAAATGCAAGGTCCCTTCTTCAAAATTATTAAGGATTTCTAGACAGGGACAACACAACTTGAAACCACACCCAGGGTCCTTCTAAACTCAGGGCTCTGTGTCACAGTTCACATTCCCATGAACTTGGTCTGGTAGTTCCCCCACTCAGCACTCAAACAGGGAGTATTACTCTGGATTTTCTAGATAGGTATGCAATAGTTTTTGTAGGCTTTGTTCAATGAATAGTAATTACATATCATGTGTTTGAAATTTATAAACATGCTATATAGCTGAAATCATGTTTTTGAGATTCATCTATGTTGCTCTATAAAGTTGTCATTAATATATTTTTATTGCTTATGTTATACCAATTAATGTACTATATTTTTAAACATTTTCCTATTGAAGAACATTCAGGTTGTATCCAGTTTTCATGTTTGTTTCTATAAGAAACAATGCCTTCAGGAAAATGTTTTCAAATGTCTCCTGGGAGTCCATGTTTAGAGTTGCATATGTTTTAGGTATGGTTCTCCTAAACAGCATAGAACTCCACTGGGTTTTCATCAAGTCTGACAATCTGTCTTGTTACTAGTGAAAATGGTCCATTTACATTTATGTGGTTATTGGCATATTTTGATTCATTTCTATCACCTTACTCTATGCTTTATATTTGTCCTCCTCCATGTTTCTTTTTTTCTCCTACCTTGATTTTCATTTCAATTTTTCTCTACTGCTTTAGTTGAATTCTTTCTTATTCTGTCCTTGGAATTTTAGCATATCTAAATGTCAGTGTCTCAGGTTAATCATCATATCTTAATTCTCTAATCAAATAATGCTGAAACTATAGAATCTTTTAACTTATGTCACCTTCCTTCAAATTAATAAGCTAAAGTCATTCAGTATTTTAGTTCTGTTTTATTATTTTGGCCTATAATAAAGACATTGCTAATATTATTTTTTACTGTCAGTAATTATTTAGCTTTATCTACATGTTTATCCATTTCTTGGTTCGCATTTCTTCTTATATATCAGACATTCCTTCTAGAGTCATTTTTATTTCATACAAAGTATAGCTTTTAGAATTTCCTTTAGTTAGCACCTTATGATAGTACAATCACAATTTTGTTTAAAGACCTATTTGGTTTTGGTTCCCAAAATACAGTTTTATTGCTAAACAACTTAAGATTGACAGATACTCCATCTCAACACAGCATTCATGCTGTGGCATGGTGTTGCTATTAATCTAATTTTTGTTTCTTTCTAGAAAAGAGAATAATTTTTAAATTTTTAAATTTTGTCTTTGGTATACCCCCAGTGCCACCATAATGTATATAGGTGTAGATTTCTTTTTATTTTTTGTTTGGAATAAATTTTGCTCGCATCTCTAATGATTCAAATCTATCATCAGTTCTGAAAATATCTCAACCACTATACATCCAAATATTGCTTCCTTATTCTCTCTGTCGTCTCAAATTTAAAATGCTAGACCTTCTCATTATAGCCCCTGTGTCTCTTACACTCAATTTTCTATTGTCAGTCTCCCTTTTCTGTAAGCTATATTCTGGTTTATTTCTTTACATTTATCTTCCTATTTACTAGTTCTCTCTCTAGCCATGTCTACTTACTGTTAAACTATTTATGATTTTACTACAATTGTCTACTTACTGTTAAACTATTTATGATTTTACTGCAATTAAAGCATTTTTCATTTTAAGGGTGTTATTGTCTTTTTAGAAGCCAA